ATTGGCGAGAAATACTGAGAGCACCATGGACTGCTAAAAGAACTAACAAATAATGCTCCTTGGAAGTGAGAATGGCCAGACTTTGTCTCTCTTATTATGGTCATGTTGTCAGAAGGGACCATTCTCTGCAGAAGGATATCATGCTTGGTAAAATGGAGGGTCAACGAAATAGGGTAAGACCCTTGCCAAGATGGCTGCAATGATGGGCTCAGGTATAGCATGGATCATGAGGCTGGCACAGGATGGGGCAGTGTTTCATTCTACTGCACATAAGGTCACTATGAGTTGGCCACCGCACGTAACAACAACAGCCTCCTAAACTGTGAGACAAAAAATTTCTGTTCATTAAAGCCACTCCTTGTGGAAAATCTGCTACAATAGCACCAAGAAATTAAGACAGTTATCAATTGCTTTCAATCCCATGTAATCAACATAGAGTAGGAGACCTGGTCCATACTGCAAAAAAAAAAAAAAAAAGTTTACTTATTAAAATAATGCTTTACAGAAAAGAATCAAAATCAACAATTCCAACAATGAGAAAAAGCAACAAAAGAAATCTATAGTGTCCAGAAGTAAAGAAATAATAAAGATCAGAGCAGAAATAAATGAAGCAGAAAACAAAACAAAACAAACAAACAAAAAAAAACACTAGAGAAAATAAGAAGCTGATTCTTTGAAAAAACTGACAAAATCAACAAACCACTGGCAAATATAACAAAAGAGAAGATGCAAGTAACACCAATAATAAATGAAAAGGGCAACATCATAACCAACTGAAATAAAAAAGAGAGTAACAATATTATCAAGAACCATACTCCAACAGATTTGAGAACTTAGAAGAGATGGACAAGTTTTTAGAAACATAAGACCTACCTAAACTATCCCAGTCAGAGAAAGAATACTTGAACAGACCCATGACAAAAGAAGAAATTGAGTAGGTCATAAAAAAAGCCTCGCCACAAAAAAAGTGCTGGCCCAGATGGCTTCACTAGCAAATTCTACCAAACGTTCAGGGAAGGGATGACATCTATACTACTCAAACTATGCCAGAACATACAAAAAGATGGAATACTTCCAAATTCATTCTATGAAGCAAGCATAACTGATACCAAAACCAGGGAAAGACATCACTAAAATGGAAAACTGCAGACCTATATCCTTCATAAATATAGAAACAAAAATCTTCAACAAAATTCTAGCCAAAAGAATCCAACAACATATCAAAAAAACAACACCTCGTGACCAAGTGGGATTCATACCAGGTATGCAAGGATGGTTCAACATCAGAGAAACAATCAATATAATTCACCACGTAAACAAAGTAAAAGAAAAGAACCACATGATCATTATCAATTGATGTAGAAAAGGCATTCAAAAAAATCTAATACCCATTCCTGTTCAAAACTCTCAGCAAGATAGGGATAGAAGGGAAAATCCTCCATTTAATAAAGGGCATATACACAAAACCAGGGAGTTCTGGTGGCACAGTACCTAAAGCATTTGACTGCCAACCAAAAGGCTGGTGGTTCAAACCCACTAGCCACTCCTCAGAAGGAAGATTAGGCAATCTACATCTGTAGCGATACTGTGTCAGAAACCCAAGGTGGGATCACTGTGAGTCAGATCTGACTTGATGGTAGCAAGTTTTAGATGCAAAACCAACAGCCAATATTATTCTTAATGGAGAAAGGCTCAAAGCAATTCCCCTTGCAAATGAGAACTAGACAAGGATGCCTTCTATCACTACTTCTATTCAACATTGTATTGGAAGTCCTAGCCAGGGCAATAAGGCAAGAAAAGAGAAATAAAAGGCATACAAACCAGCAAAGAAGAAATAAAGCTATCTCTATTCACAGATGACATGATTCTATGTATAGCAAACCCAAGAGATGCAGCAAAAAAATTACTAGAACTAATAGAAAGCTTCAGCAAAGTGGCAAGATACAAGGTCAACAACAAAATTCTACTGGATTTCTCTACATCAACAAAGAAGCCTCTGAAAAGGAAATAAGGAAAATAATACCATTTACAATAGCTACCAGAAAGATAACACACTTAGGAATAAATCTTACTAAGAACACAAAAGACTTTACCAAGAAAACTACAAAACAGTACTATAAGAAAGTATAAGGGATCTACACATATGGAAGAACATACCTTGTTCATGGATGTTGTTGTTGTTGTTGTTATGTGCCGTCGAGTCAGCCCTGACTCATAGCGACCCCTCCTTGGGTTTCCGAGGCAGTATCACTATGGAAGTAGGATTACCCAACCTTCCTTCCAAGGAGTGGCTGGTGGGTTTGAACCGCCAGCCTTCTGGTTAGCAGTCAAGTGCCTTAGCCACTACGCTACCAGAGCTCCCTGTTCATGGATAGGAAGACTGAATATTGTACAAACTTCAGTATTACCCAAAGCATTCTACATATTCAATGTCATACCAATCCAGATTCCATCAATATTTTTTTAAGGACATGGAAAAACCAATTAATTTCATATGGAAAGGAAAGAGACCTCACATAAGCAAAGTACTGCTGAAGAAAAAAAACAAAGTAGGTCTCACACTCCTGGACCTCGACACCTACCATATAGCCACAGTAGTCAAAGCAGCATGGTATTGGTACAATGATAGAGAGAGAGAGAGACCAATGGAACAGAATAAAAAACTCAAGAAATAGACCCATCCATCTATGGATAGCTGATCTTTGACAAAGGCCCAAAACTCATTAAATGGGGGAGAGATAGCCTCTTGAACAAATGGTGCTGGTAAAATTGATATCCACATGTGGAAAAATGAAACAAGATCCATACGTCACCCCATACACAAAAACAAACTCAAGCTGGATAAAATAATCTTACATATGCACAACAACAGTTAATTTGATTTATGCGCTTATGCCACAAAATTAGCTATGTACATTACAGAAGCAACAGAAGACAAGGTTGGAGCAACTTTCACAGGCAACCAAGCATCTTGTGAGAGAGAATCACCAGGCCTGCTGCAGGCTCAGGACCGTAGTCTCAAGGGACATCATGCTCAACTGGCGTACATAGCTCATAAAAGTTTTGTTCAACAACCTAGTTTGGTGAGTAGCAGCCATCTAAGATGCAACTACAGGTCTCCTTTCGTCTGGAGCAAAGAAGAATGAATCAAGTCACTGTCATCTGGAAGCAATTAGTCCAAAGATAAGATGGACCACAAGGCCCTAGCCTCCATGACCTTAAAACCAGAAGAACTAGATGGTGCCTAGCTACCAATGCCAACCACTTGGAAAGGGATTAAATGTGGAGATCCTGGATAGCATGGGAGGAAAAATGTGGAACAAAATTCTGAAACACCAAAAATGACTAGAATTACTAGTTGGAAAGAGACTGGTGGAACCCTCAAGACTATGGCCCCAGGTTATGCTTTGGGCCTAGAAAAGGACCAACTTATATGGATTGGCTCTCAGCTCACCAGTAGAAAGTCCTATATACAGAACACCACCCCAAGTTGATTCACCCACCTACTCTAGGGAGATGCACCCCTCGGATCAATCACCCATGAGATATCAGAAAGGTAAAAATAAAAGAAAAAAATAAAATGAAATAATGCTCCAATGGGCAAGTTGACCCTGAAATCTATATGGAAATACAAGAGACCTTAAATAGCCAAAACAATCTTGGGGGGCGGGGGTCAACAAAGCTGAAGGACTTATAATTCCTGATTTGAACACTTACTATGGAGTTATAGTACTCAAAACAGTCTGCTATTGACGTGAGGATAGACACATAGACCAGCAGAACAGAACTGAGAGTACATAAATAAAATCAGACACCTAGGTCAAATAATTTTCAACAAGGATACTATACCACAGCAATTTCAAGCACAAAAAAATAGTTTTTTGCAACAAACAGTGCTAAGACACCTGGATAGCCACATGAAAAAAAAAAAGAAGCAGAACACGTACTTTACACCATATACAAAAATCAACTAAAAATCAATTGAGTATCTACAAGTAAGAACTAAAATTATAAACTATTATTAGAAAGAAACATAGAGGCACATCTTCATGGTCATGGTTTCTTATAAATATAACACTAAAACACATGATTAAGCAATCATCTTTATTGAGTGACCTCAACTCTCTCTTTGGAATTCCTTGCCAAGCAAAAATATCCAGGAGTCAAGTAGTTTTAAAATATTTATCATAAAGAGAAAAATTATGTTATCACTCATCTAGCTATCTAAAAATATGCTTAATTAAATACACAAAGAAGTACTTACAAATTTTTTTTGGCAATTTCCATCACTAAAAAAGTATGAACATAAACTAAAGCTCAAATAATAAATGAATGAATACAAGGTTTAAGTTGAAACCAGCTATAAACAGCACCATTTTCCATGTAAAAATAATAGAATCAACTATGTCTGAATAACTTGGAAAGAGCAAAATAAGTAATAATGCAAGTTTTGGAAAAAGAACTTGCAATTGCAAGCCAATGAACCACCATTTCCACTTTTCTAAGTAATAATTTCTTATATATTTTCCCTATAACAAACAAATCAACAGCTTCTCTTTTGATGGGCCTTTTACTGAACTATAATGTATAAAGTAAGATTATCACCATGATCCCAACAGAAAAATGATAACTAGGATACTTCACAGGATTGCTGTGAAAATGAAATTTTACGTATATATAAAAAACTACAGAAAGAGGAAAAAACAATGTCTAGCATATTTTTAAGTATTACCAATTATTAAATGTATTATGAACAGTAACAATGATCTCTGCATGCACCATAACAGACAAAAGATGAACGCAGGGCTAAATTTTCCATCTCAGGTATCTAACAACCTACAGTATTTCAGCAGAAAGGTCATAGGTATTCATGGTAACAAAACATTAAGTATTACTTACCCACAAGTAGTATGTGAACTGAAGTGCAAAAATAGCAATGCCTTCATTATCAAAGGACCCAGCTACTGACCGAGATATGTAACCTGGTACAATAGCAATAAAACAAGCAGCTAAAAGTCCTGCCCCTTGGTTCCAAAGTTCTCTGGTAAGCAGGAAAGTAGATATAGATGTAAGGCCGCTGAAAGTTGGTGCAAGGAACACACACACATCTCTTATATGAACTGTTATGTTCAATGTATTTAAAATCCAATGAATAAGGCCAGCTGTTATCATTAATCCTGGGTAAACCTAAAGAGAAAGAAAACTGAATCATTACATATAAAATGGAGTATGTCAAAATAATAACATGAGTGAGCTTCTTTATTATTATTACATAGCTTCTGTAATAACTTTGAGAACAATACCTCAAAAACTGCTTTTGTGTACTACAAAATGAAATGTTTATTTTGCTTTAGATACTAAAGAAAAAGGTCAAATATAGAGGGATGTATACTGATTCTGTTCTTTTTTTTCTTTCACTCCAAAACAGTGCCCTAGTTTAACTTACTCTCAAATTTTGGGTTTTAACACATTCCAATTTCACCCACAGTTCGATGTGTAAAAGGAATGAGAAAAAGGAGAAGAAAAGAAGATTCAAGTGGCAAAATGAACTATGTGGTATTTATGAGTAAGTCTTCCTCTTCCTTTGGAGCCCAAGATTAAGAAAGTAAACAACCTCTTAGAACAGTCAACCATGGGAGGTCAAACCATGGGTGATTAAAGGCGCACATCTGCAAAGAGAAAGCTAGGAAAGCAGAAATGCCTAAGTAAGAAGGGACAGAGTTGTCAGGGGGAGAAGGTGGGAGGAGATCTGCTACATTGTGGGGATTGTAATCAGTGTTGTGAAACAAAATGCATACGAACGACTGAATGTAAAATGAATGTGCTTTGTAAAATTGCACCCAAATCACAATGAAAAGTTTCAAAGAAAGTAAAGCGTTTTAGCTAAGAAAAAGACAGGTAGTTGGTGAATTCAAAGATCAATTACTTAAAACTGCTGGAAGGATGAAAATTTTTGTCACTTAAAATGCATAGGGGTGGAAAGGAAATAATACACTAATTAGGAAGGGGCCAGTTAACAGTTATACTCCTTACTTTAAAGAGGAAAATCAAACATTAAGTATTCAAAGAACAGTAAATAGGGTATTATTTTTGAGTTATTATTCAATGAGTAAAATATACATTTACATTTGTACCCTTAGCTCAATTCTAAAAAGATCCTTTACTTCTGTCATCACAGAAATTACAAAAGTAATGTTATAAATGTACTTTACCAGTTATACTATTTAAAACTGCAAATTCTTCATGCCCTTAGTCCACCTCCCTGATTTTTCTTTATAGCACTTATCACCATATGACATACTATTTACTTATTAAGTGTCAATTAACTACCCACTCTTATTACAATATAAGGTCCAGAAAAAGCAGAGAACCTTCCCATACTATCTAGAACAATGACTGGCAGAAAATATATGCTCAATTCTTACTGAATGCATGGACAGAAGGAAATATGGAGGAAGGGAGAAACTATGGCAGTTCATCATCATTCTTAAGAATAAAAATTCTGTTCTAATTCACACTGAATACCAGATCTCAGGCAATCTTCAAAGAAAACAGAAGTGAATTCAAAAACATTTCCATGCAACATAGTAAAGTGAGCTGACATGTCAAAATACAAGTACTGAGGACAGAACTTTCCTCCACCAAAAAAAGTAAGGCATATTCAAGTTCCAAAGAAAGGGAATTCTCCAGACGCATAAAGTGAAGAAATTTAAACTAGTACTTATACCATGGAAGCCCGTGGGAAAATCAGACCTGATACAGGTCTTAGAAAGATCAGAGAGAAAGTCTAGTTCCCAACACAAGCCAGGACTTGGAAAGGATGTCTTGTTTATGAAACTAAATTAGACAAATTCAACCCATCCATCCAGGGAAGCACTGAGGAAGTGTGCCTTCCTTTCAAAATTGTGAGTAGGAACAAAATACTACAGGAGAAATAAGAAACCCATTCACATGTGTAAAGATAGGGTCCACATTTATAGTAACATTAGCTCTAAGGAACCTCAAAGTGAGAAATGACCTCTAAAAACGCTCCTTAAACCAGTGAAATACCTAAGACCTACAGCAAAGGCCAATGAGAAGGATTATTAGATGGGTGGTCCCAAATCCCAGGGCAGCAGAAATCTCAGAGAAACCAAGCCACCATTAAGGATGAATTCAAGATAAAAAGTTAAACCACACACAGAAACTATAATCATCAAATTATCAATACAATAAAGTGTATGACAGAATTAAGACCACAATAATTGCAGGAATAAATATCTACCACACCTACCCTACAATACTTAGATCCTCTCTATATGTACAACTGGAGACCATCATGACTAATCTCTCATTGTGCCTGTACCTCTATTTATATGAAAGATAAGAAGTTCCCGCAAACTAGAAATGCAACACTTTACTAACAAGGCAAACAACACTATTTCCAAATAGAGAAAGAATATTTATAAAAGTTGGCTACATCCTAGGTCACAAATCAAGTCTTAGCAACTTTCAAAGAACTGAAATGCATAGACTTTGTTCTCTAACCACAATTTTTATAGCAGGAAGAAAAAAAGTTAAATAAATTTACTTTGCTGGGAAATTAAGTACACTTCTAAATAACTCATGCGTCAAAAGGAAAATTTTAATAGAAATTAAAATATATTTTGAACTAGATAATAATGAAAATACTACATGTCAAAATTTATGAAATCCCTTATCAGGGCCACAATTGACTGACTCTGATAGAAAGAGACAAAAATGGGGAGCAAAACCTTAAATTCCTTTAAAAAAGAAATAACGATTTACTGGACTGTTTAAGACTGGAGTACTCCTACAGACTATAACTGAGATACTCTTTAAACCAGGGCTTTGAACGATTCATTCCTGCTGGACACCCTGCTGAAAATCTGTCTATCCACCCAAGATATACTGAATCAGAATCTACATTTTACAAGATCCCTAGGTGATTCTTATTGGCTCACAAAATAAAGAATATCACCTGTGAGTTGTGTTTCTTTATCAAAGCACAGATGAGAATGTAAGGGGGCAGGGAAAGCAGAGTAACAAAAACAGAACAATTAGAATGGAAATACAGAAAATGTTCACACATTATGAAAAAAGTAAAACCGGTATAACTGAACAATTGGTGTAGAAACTGTTGAATGAGAACTTAAACTGCTGTGTAGCTTTCACCAAAAGCACAGTAAAATATTATCAGGGGGATGACACCTTATGGAACACAGCTAAAGCAGTGATTACCAAAAAACCAAACTCATTGCCATCAAATCAATTCCAACGCATAGCGACCCCCTTTGGGTTTCCGAGGTGATAAATCTTTACGGAAGTAGATTGCCCAGTCTTCCTTCCACAGAGTGGCTGATAGGTTTGAACCTCCAACCTTCTGGTTAGCAGTCAAATGCCTTAGGTACTATGCCACCATTATAGCTTTAAGATACATATGTAAATGAAGAAAAGTTAAAAAACTGAGCAAATCATCTCAAAAAATCATAAAAAGAACATCAAAATAGACCCAAAAAAGTGAAGGAAAGAAAAAAACAACTAGAAATAAATAAAACAGAAAACATGTAAGACAGATAATCAGCAGTCAAAAGTTTCTTTGTGTTAAACAAAATATCTCTAATAAAATTGATAAAGCTCTGACAAAAGTGATCAATAAAAAAATACAAAATATATTGTTTGTTCAGCAACAGACACTCCATCTTTCAACTTCTCTTCAAAATTCTCCTTACATCCCAAATCCTAAAAATGTTTTCTTTTATGTCATCTTGTCATCAGAATTCCCCATACACTACATTCAATCAATACTCAATTATTTGGAGTACTTTAGGGAAGATGTAGAACCAAGAAAATTAGAGCTACCCGATTATTTTAAATTTCTATCTCCTTCCAAAAGATTATTTTCAACTGAGTTGCTATAAAATAACACAAAAGCACACAAATAACCTGAAGTTGAGACACACTGTGACAGCAGACTCCATCACTTGTCAGAAACAGTGACCATCCAAAAGCAGGTGATGAGGAAGAAAGAAAAGGTTAAGAAAAGAGCCTAAGTAAATTACTTATAAGATAATCAGCCATGGATAAATATATTCATTAACTACATAAAACTTCCAAGAATTCCCACCATCACCTTATACAAATAACTATAAAATTTTCTGATTAACATAAGTAATTGCTAATATACTTACAGTACCACCTACTATTCTTCCTAGTGGATACCATGCTCTTTCATCAAACCAATTTAAAAATTCATAGAACCCATGAGAAGCAAGATGATGTGTTGATCTATAGTTAAACCTAGAGAAAAAGAGGAAAAAAGAAATGTTAAAAAAAACTGCTTGATAGATATAGCTCTTTATATTTGTATTATATTATGTAACTCTATAGCTACATAAAGGAGCTCTGGTAGCATAGTGGCTAAAGCACTTGATTGCTAACCAGAAGGCTGGCGGTTCAAACCCACCAGCCACTCCTCGGAAGGAAGGTTGGGCAATCCTACTTCCGTAGTGATACTGCCTCGGAAACCCAAGGAGGGGTCGCTATGAGTCGGGGCCGACTCGATGGCACATAACAACAACAACAACAACAACATAGCTACATAAATATATTTTATAGCAACTTTTCTCAACTTGAATAGACTACTACTAAAGGAACATGCTTACACCTTGAACATAAAACAAACAAACAAAAAAAAGCTTCCCACCCACATCCAAAAGAAAACCCCACACCTACAAAACTAGTAATGCTCAAATTAACATTTGCCCATCACTTACGGTCTAGTGCAGAGAGTTATTTATACATTTGGATATGAAAGGTAAAAAAAAAAACTACCAAACTCAATGCCCTTGAGTCGATCCTGACTCATAGCGACCCCTCCTTGGGTTTCTGAGGCAGTATCTCTATGGAAGCAGATTGCCCAATATTCCTTCTGAGGAGTGGCTGGTGGGTTTGAACCACCAGCCTTCTGATCAGCAGTCAAATACCTTAGGCATTATGCCACCAGAGCTCCTAAAAAAAGGTCAAGGTCCACAGAATTCATTAAATAGTGAAAGAAGCCCACGATTCTCAAGATTAAAGAGATAGCATCAAAATAGAAGAACATTTGACATTATCAGCTTCAATCCCGAAAGCTCAAAAGTTACAGAGATAAAGAAGAAATAATATCACTTTACAAAGAAAATAAAAATTCTTAAGAGTACTAAAAAATAATATGACCTCAAAGAATGAGAAATTATAACTAATCCCTGAAAGATGACCAACTACAAGAAATGAAGAAACCACAAATCAAAATGCAATCAGAAGAAAATGGCAAACCATGGAGGAAGTTCCAGAAACATTCATTTCATATAAAGCAACTATGGGGGTGTGGGTGTGGATGTGGGTGTGAGTGTGTGTGTGATAGGACCCTGAGGATAACAGCATTAAGAACAACCAGGCCATTGGATACCATTCTCCTACTTGTGCCAAGCAGGAAAGCAGGTATCAGAGGTATCTGCCTGAGGTGGAAGCACTACACATAGTGAGTCAAGGAGCCAAACAATGCTGGACACGCAGAGGAAAAACAGGAAATATAACAATCCTAATCTTTGCCCCCGTGATCACTAGACTCAAGTTTTGTAGCATTTACAGACAGAACTAACAAACACAAAAATAAGCACATATCCAAAAATCAAACATGTAAGAAAAGTAAGCATAATACAATTCCATTCCAGATCCCATCAACATTCTTTAAGGATATGGAAAAACCAATTATTAATTTTATATGGAAAGAAAAGAGACCTCAGATAAGCAAAGCCCTCCTGAAGAAGAACAAAGTAGGAGGTCTCACACTCCTGGATCTCAAACCTACCACAGAGCCAGTGGAATAGAATTGAGAACCCAGAAAGAGATCCATCAACCTATGGTCAGCTGATTTTTGACAAAAGGCTAAAATCCATTAAATGGGGAAGAGGTTGTCTCTTTAACAAATGGTGCTGGCAAAACTATATCCATTTGCAGAAAAATGGAACAAGATCCATATCTCACACCATACACAAAAACTACCTCCAGATGGATCAAAGACTTAAATGTGAAACCTAAAACTATAAAGATCCTCGAGGAAAAACTAGGGGCAAATTTAGGGCCCTAATTTATAGCATGAATAGACCGTTAAACATAACCTAAAATGCACAAACAGCTGAAGATAAACTAGATTAATGGGACTTTCTAAAACTTGAATTCTTTTTTTTTTTTTTTAATTTTATTTTGATTTGGGTGAAGATTTACAGAGTAAATTCACTTTTCATACAGCAGTTCACATATACTTTGTCTCATGTCATTGACCAAAAT